TATTATTATTAATATTAATTTTATAACGAAATTCATCTCCCGCATGGTGATCTTTTTTATGTATCCTACGTTCGTCGACGCAATTCGATTTGTCTTCTGCTGATTTTTCTACTTTTATAGCAAACGATTTTATTATTCCGTTCAATCCGTTCGTTTCGTGTTTTTTTTGCCATTCTAAGATGTTCGTCAAAAGATTTATGTACCTGATGAAATTATTTAAAATTTAATAAATCATTTTATTGTAAATAATAATAATAATGATGATAAACTTACTTAATGGCCATTCTTAAAATTTCATTTTTCGATAGTTTTTTATCTGGTGGATGTGTCGGTACGAGTTTTCGTAATTCTGCAAAAGCACCGCTTACATTTTGCTGCCGCCATCTTTCTCTTGAATTTGTAAATATTTTTTTAACAACTAATCTCGGATGATTTTGATGATGATGATGATTATTATTGTTATTAATATGAAGGTGGGACACGTTGTGAGATTGATTGTGATGATTAACCCTTAGGAAATCGATGGGTATAATTGGTGGAGATCTTCCCAGTAATGAAGGTACGCCGGTCACTCCAAAAGTATCTGAAAATGAAATTTTTGAAAAAATGTAAAACGAAAAACCAAAAAAAAAAAAAAAAAAAACCGAAGAAATAAATTTTCCCCCCAAGTAATAAATCAAATTTTTTTATTTTATTTAATTACGTCACTGCACATTCATTTCAAACTATTTTTTTTTTTTATAAATATCAACGCGTAATAAAAATAAAAATGAACGTGCTTAATAATAATAATAAAAGGTGATGAGAAAAATAAAAAAAAATTTACGACTACGGGCTCGTCCGGGATTTGAACCCGGGACCTCTCGCACCCTAAGCGAGAATCATACCCCTAGACCAACGAGCCGATGTTATTAATTGTTTTTCCGGAAACGATTACGATTCAACAAAACTAAATAAACTCATCTTTTGCCTAAAGCTAAATTTTTTTTTTTTTTTTTTTTAAATGGATTACAAAGAGCAATGACATTTTAAATAATAACTATTATTTATTATTATTATTATTTAACTCATCTTACGTAATAAATTTAAAACTTTTTTTTTGCTCAATCAATCAATATACAATACAAAAAAAATTGTCAAAAAATACCTTTTTTTGGGGATCCGATTCTATTTTCTTCTTCTTCTTCGCTTTCCAATATAGAAAAATCATCGCTGAGATCATCATCAAGTTCTTCGGACATTGAATCGCATTCTCTGATACCATCAGTTTGTCCAATTCCATTTATAAACGATGATGGAT